GTGGTACTGTGAAGGAGATACTGAATTAGAAGACAGAGCTGCGTGGTACTGTGAGGAGATACTGAATTAAAAGACAGAGTTGCGTGGTACTGTGAGGAGATACTGAATTAGAAGACAGAGCTGTGTGGTACTGTGAAGGAGATACTGAATTAGAGGACAGATCTGCTGCTTTTTTTTTTTTTTTCCTCCCCTGAAGGATTTACATTCTCTTTGGGGAAACTAGTTAGGTGTGACCATAAAGCAGGGTTTGTGAGTGATTTGTAAACTAGATCCTCCGGATTTTCTAAAATGATAGCTTCCAAAAAAGGACTTCAAGCCCATGACACCATCTGGGTTGTGTGTGTGCCCCCGGACTACTGTGCAGTAGGATCGTTCCAGGCTCTGGTTTCAAAAGGAGCCAGTGGCTGGCCTGGGGAAGGCTACCTCTCACCCCAAAATCAGTGACCGGGGAAGCACAAGGTCTAACTCTGTACCACATTTGGATTGGTGGGGATGTATGATGTCATTTGATTATCAGTAAAGATGCTCCACCCCACCCAGCCCCCCCAAAATCCAGCAGGGCAAAGGAAGGCTTTTCAAGAAATCAGGCTAAGAACACTGCACCTCAGTTCAGAAACAACTGGGAAAACACCCCGACCTGACATCATACACAATTAACTTGAAGGAGCCCTGGTGGTATTGTGGGTGATGCGTCGGACTGCAGACCACAACGTCAGCTGTTTGAAACCACAAGCCACTCTGCAGGGGAAAACGAGGCTCTCCATTTCCATCAAGATTTACAGTCTGGGAAACTCAAAGAGGCAGTCCTCTGGGTCAGGATGGACATGACGGCAATGACGGATATAGAGACAGCCTAAACGCCGAAGCGAGGAGGTTTCTAGAAAGAAAAGCCCCAGAGAGCTTTGCAACGTAGACGCAGGCAAAAATGTCCGACACAAGATGCCAGATCGCCCGCCGTGAAAACTGTCGAGTGGTACGTCATGGTTGTTGGGTGTGTGGGGTCTGTTTTGATGCATAACAGAAGGACACACCGTCTTGCCCTGCGCAAGCCTCACCAGCAATGACAGGCTGGGCCCTGGCTGCAGCGACCCGGTCGATGCATCGGAGGGACCACATGAAAGTTAGAAGCAAGCGCTTAAAAACGTATCGTTAGGAACCAAGTAGGCCCGGCCCCGCTGGGAATGAAAGCTTTGTGACCGTGAACATGACAAAGGTCTAGAGGTCAGATCAAGAACGCCTCCAAAGCCCAGGCCCAGCTCCCTGCCATCCGGTCCAGTCCACTGTCCCTCACAGTGACCCTGCAGGACAGGGTACAACCGGCCTTGTGGGTTTCCTGAGCCTGTGACGCTACAGGAGTAGCAAGCCCCGTCTTTCTCCCCCTGGAGTGACTGGTGGTTTTGAACTGCTAACCTTGTGGCTCACGGCCCAACACATAACCACTTCACCATTAGGGCTCCTTTGCAGTTCCAGGGCTCCTAAGCTTTCGGGTTAATAGTCCAGCACAAGGAGCCCTGGTAGCACAGTGGTGAAGCACTTGGCTCTTAACTGAGAGTCAGTGGTTTGGACCAGGCAGCTGCTCTGTGGGAGAGAGCTGGGGAGTCTGCTTCTGTCTTAGAGGGCCCTAAGAGTTGGCTTCTGTGGCGTTGGCCCAGGAGCCCTGGTGGTGTAGTGGTTAAGCTTTGGGCTGCAATCCGCATGGTCAGCAGTTTGGAACCACCAGCAGCTCCGAGGGAGAAAGATTGTGCTTTCTACTCCCGCCAACAGTTACAGGCTTGGGAATATACAGAGGTCTCTAGGAGTCAACCCACATGGATTGAGTTGGGTTTGGGTTAGGAGGTTTTGGTTGGGAGGATGAGTTCAGCACAAACCGATAACACCACCGAGGAGCTCAGAAACCAACTCAGTCCAATGGAAACAGGGTTTATGTTAAGGAGGCAAGATACATTGTGAAGCCCAAGAGCAGGAATCCCCATGGGCCACCTAGGCCAGCAGAGGCTGTAGGGACAATACGCGCACGTTATCATTCCAGCTTGCACCTTTCCCACTTCCTCTTCTCCCGGCCCCCCTCCCTCCTCTTTTCTCCCACTCACCCCTGCAGGGCAGGCAGCAGACAGTAGCCACGCCTCCTCCTCCTTCAGTTCTGGCCACACTAAGCTAGGTGGGTTTTTTTGTCTTTCTCAGAGAAGAGATTGTATTTACCCAGCGTGGGCCAATGGGTGCAGCCAGAGGGCAGACCCACGCAGGTATGCTTAGCTGGGAGGTGTGGGAAAGAAGGTGCGAAAATCAGTCTCCTCTCGGCCCACGAAATCTCCCCACAGAAAAATAGGAGAGAAAGGACAGCTTTATTTGGGAATAAGCGTTAAACTGGAATATGACGTAGCACAAGCAAGGACAGGAGGACACCTGACCCTTTATCCAGCTCCCCGGGTACAGCACACAGCACTCAGTTTCAGTATCTTGTAGGGGGGGTACTTGATGGCACCCCGGGGAACTGGAGGGAGGGATATTCTTCCTGATGACCTGATGTGAAAAGGGAAGGCTCTCAGCTCCTTGGGGAAACCTACCTTTTTCACTTTTCATTGCAAATTAGGTGGAGGTTTGCAGAACAGAGCATCGTTTTTATTTCTGCAATTCAGACTCATTCTGATTCAGCTCCTCCATTGCAAATCCCCTCAATTCAATGTCTGTGGCGAATCCCGTTTCCTCCCTGTGTGTGCTGTTTCCATTCTTGCTCCTTTCCTCTCATTCGTTCTGAACTCGGTCCCTGGGTCAAGGCTGCCCTTTTGATCTCCAAAGGTTGATGGTTCTAAACCCGCAGGGTGATGGAGTCTTGGGGGGTTCTGCCAGTCTCTAGGTGACCAGTAAGCCTGGTCTCTTTGCTGATGTTGAGTTTCATCCCACATATTTCTCCCCCTCCATCCAGGACCTTCTAATGTGATCCCAGAGCTGTTGGTGGTGGGCGCTGGGCACCATCTAGTTCCTCTGGTCTCAGAGTCAAGGAGACAGGTGTTTATCTGGCCCCTGAACCCATTGGACTAATTGGGAACTGTACTTTCTAAAGAGACAGAGAAAGAATTTGCCCTCAAGCCAATTCTGCAAGCACAGGCGGGGTGGGGGCCCTCTTCTTTATTTTCAACTGGAGAATGAAACCTTTGGCTTTCAATTTGGAGTTGTCCCCACAGCAAGGAGAGGGTGCTCTCAGATGTTCCCCGTGACATGCCACCATCTAACCCGCCCACCCAGTGGCATGTGGAAGAGAGGCCTGGGTGTGCGTGTGTAAAGACTAGAGTCTCCTACCCCCACCCCCAGCCCCATATAAAGCAGTTCTAGTCTGCATACAAGGGCTCCCCATGAGTCAGATTGGACTGGTGGCCATGGTAACCTGGATCATTAGGGTCCCACGAGTCTGCCTGCTCTGGGGTTGGGAAGAGTAGCCCCGAGTCCTGCTCATGGGCAAGGGATGTTTTTTGAGTCCTCTTGAACGTAATCCTCTCCTTCAACCTCCAGGATGGAAAGGGACGCCGCCTTCACCCAAAAAAAGGCCGAGAGGGCGTGTCTGCGAGTCCATCTCCGCGAGAAGTACAGGCTTCCAAAGGTACGACCTGTCGGCACAGCCAGGCTGATCGGAGTGGATGAGGTAGAGGACCGTCCACCAAGGGCTGCCTTCGTGAATGCGCACTGCACGCCCGTGCACGAGCACGCACGCTTCCCTCTTATCCTCTAGCACTTCACCTGGGGATGGGGCCCTGAACTGGGAGTTCATACAGCCTTTACCTCTGTGAACCTCCACATCTTCTCCACAAACCAGGCATTAGCGCCTACAGATGACAGGCTTATGTAAAATCTACCTATCTATCTATCGATCTACCTATCTATCTATATCTCAAACAAAAGCTCATCGCCATCAAGCGACGCTGACTCACAGCAGCCATGAAGGACAGGGTAGAACTCCCCTGTGGCTTTCTGCGACTGTAACGCTTTACGAGAGTAGAAAACCTCTTCTTTCTCCCACAGAGCAGCTGGTGGTTTTGAACTGCTGATCTTGTGGTTAGTAACCCAGTGTGTAACCACTAGTCTGCATGCATGGGATCCCCATGAGTCAAAATGGACTGGGTGGCCATGGTAAACTGAGGCTCCTAACTGCAAGGTCAGCAGTTGGAAACCCCCAGCCGCACTGTGGGGGAAAGAGGGGGCTTTCTACTCCTATAAAGTTCACAGTCTGGGAGACTCACAGCCATCTACCACCTCATTTACACAAGAGGAAACTGTAGGAGGGTGCTGGGTTGTCACTTTGCAAAGGCCCACCTCTACTGAGCCACAGAATTAGGGGAGAGCTTGGCCCCAACACCTAATTTGCACAAGGGTGAGCACGCTGTAAATTTGAGTGGGGGCTTTGATTCTGTGGGTGGGGCGGGAAGCAGAACCTTGCAGTGGCTGAATGTGAAATTGTTCACTGTGCATGAGCAAGTCAGTACAAGGCAGCCCTGGCTTACCTTGCTGATTGAGTGACCCTCCATCCCTGACGGAAATCTGACATTACAGACGCCAGGGGGTGAGTGGTGTCCTTGGTCCCCAAGTGTCCAACTTCCCAGAGGACAGGCACCACACAGCACAGCAAAACAGCTCCATCCTGGGACCCTCCTGTCTCTCCCGTGCCTACCCCATATCCCCTGCCACCTATGGCCCCACATCCATGGTCACCTCCCACTTCCATAGCCAGGACTCTGGGTGCTCCCGGGCTGGAAGGAAGCCCTGGAAACAGGAGCGTTTCTCAGGAGAGGAGCAAGCCTCGTGGAAGACGCCCAGCGGCTCCTCGGCGCCGCCTGCTGTCCCCAGAAGGAACTGCACCCACGTGCGGGAGCCGAAAGCATTCCTCCAGGCTGTGGGCTGCAGCGAGGGCAGAAATGTCGATCTTTTTAAAACATTCAGTAGAAAAACACTATGGTTGCTGTTAACTGCCCTCTAATCCACTGTGACTCACGGCGACCCCCTATGTGCAGAGCGGCGCTGCTGCGTAGTTTGCAGGGCTGTGGCCGGACGCCTGGGCTTTCTCCCGCAGGGTACATCTCGGTGAGTTCGAACCACGAGTATTTGGGCAGGTAATGGAGAGTTTCACCCTTAGCTCTGAGCACCAATCTGGGATACCGTTTTTATGTTTAAATTATTTTATTAGGCGCTCTTACAACCCTTATGACATTCCGTACATGGATTGTATCAAGCACATTTGTACATGTGTTGCCATCTTCATTTCCAAAACATTCTCTATGTGAACCCTTAGTATAAGCTCCTCTCTTTTCCCCTCCCTCCTACCCTCCCACCCTCGTGTATCCTGCTCAATTATATATTGTTATTGTTATTTTATATCTAACCTTGTCCATTGTCTCCCTTCAGCCACATTTCTGCTACTAGTCTCCTGGGGGGGGGTGTGTGTGGCTATATATCCAATCTTGTAATGGGTTCCCCCTTTCTCACCCTTCCCCCTCCCTGACCATCCCCTTATGAAGGCCAGGTTGTCTATTTCCTTCTGAAGGAACCCAGCTCCAGCCAGTCTGGAAGGGCGAGTCCTGGAAACGGCTGTCCACGCGTTGCAGGAGGCCACAGCCCGGTGAATGGGCCAGTGGTGGGCGCGGCCAGCAGGGACTTGAGTCAGAGGGGGCAGGGTCTGCTCACGCATGCGCCTGGGCTCCCCAAATGTCGGCAATTGTGAGCGAGGGACGGCATGTTGTGTCTTGAGAGATGAGTCCGAGACAGGGAGAAGGTGAAGGTCATTATGCTCAGCCCAGTCAGTGAGTGCAGGGTCTGTAGTCTAAGGTGAGCTGGGCCTGGTGCTTTCTGGGAGTCTGCGGAGGAACCCGGAGAGCGGTGGCTTTGAGATGCCATTAGAAAGCCCCCGGACCTCGAAGTTGCAGGCTTGCAAGTCCTAGATGTTCCAGTTGGGAGCAAGGAGGCTCTGGGAGGAGACTGCCAGGCCTGTGTGGAAGAAATGAAGGGAATAGATGGGAAGAGGCCCCGATGCGCGCCTCCTAAGCGTTCTGCCAAACCAGGTGCTTCCAAGGGCGGATTGTTGCCAAAGTACTTGCCAGGTCTTTATTCCACCGCACCTCTGACCTACGAAGACGCTTCAGCTTTTCTGTTGAGCACAGCTGTCTGTCCCATGCAGGGACCCCCACCAGCCGCTCTGGGAGGTACTCACGATGGCCTGTTCCTTGAGGACTGCGGTCAGGAAGGGAACTGCAGAGCCCCTACCAGGGCACAGCGCTGAGACCATCCAAGGAGCATGCCCCCCATCTCTTCCTCTTCGGAAGTTCTCAGAGCACCGTTGCCAGAATGCTGGGTTCCTGGACCAACACACAACCTAGATGCCTCAACATGGTCTCGGTTTTTCTCGAAACTCTTTCTACTAAAATAAAAAAAATTTAATTGTTTTTGGCTGCAAATGGACCCAGCAAATTCGGTTCCCTGCAGAAGTTTGTGCATTTTGCTCCGTGCATTGGTTGCCTTTCTTCTAAAGCATCGACAAGCTCCTTATTTCCATTCTAGTTGTTCCAGCTCCGTGAATCTAGCTCCCCTGTTCCCTCCTTACTTTGCCACCTCAGGGCCGGGGCCAGTGCTGACCGCATGGCTTCATTCGGATGGTTAGTTAGCAGAGCAGCGCACTCACAGGAGATGCAATCTCACTTAGGAGCTGCTCTGTCGTTGGGCTGAAAGGCGGCCTCGTTAGCAGTTGGAGTTCCGAATTTAAAGGCGATGCCAAGGCGAGAGCTGTCTCTAGGGTGTCTCTGGTCTGACCTGGTCCAGTAAGTCTGGCCTCGCCTTTAGGAATCTTGAGTTTCATTCTGCATGTTTCTCCCGTCCTGTCCAGGACGGCCACTGGTCAGTAGTGCTGGCTGGACAGCATCTGGTTCTTCCGGTCTCCAGGGAGGTGAGTTCAAGTTTCAGCTGCAAGTCCTGCAGACTCATTTCTTCTCTGAGCCTGTGGTTTCTCTCTCTCTCTTTTGTGCCACATGTGTAGGGTCCAGTAGTCGAATTTTAGCTGGCCGCTCGCGCAAGCTTTTAAGATCCCCATATCTACTCACCAAATTACATCTTGTGAACTATGTATTGTGTCAATTGACAAGCCAGCCCACAAGACTATGGTTCTACGCCCTCAAATAAAGATAAACTTCAGTGTGTCTTTGCTAATGACAGAAACGCCCATATCCCAAGTAGACACCGAGTGCACAATCATAAAGCTACTGTAAGAAGCACTCAGCCCTCACCAAAGAGCCAACCCAGGGAGACCTGCGAGTATCCCAGTAGACCCCAGCTCGGTAGGGTTTCCCACAGCCTACAGCGCAGACGTGGGCGGCCAGGACTTTCTTCCATGACAACGCAAACTGGGTAAACGCAAACTGCCAGCCTTTTGGTTAGCAGCCCAGCACAGTAACTGTTGGCAGCACCCACGAACTCCCCCCATCCTCCCTAAGGCCCCTCTGAGTTCTATGTCCCCATCGATGATGGTAGGATTTAGAGTCTAAAAGACCTGCTAACAAAGAAATGTCACTGGACAGATATCAAGGGGCTCCAGAGTCCGTTGGACTCTGAATCACAAACGTCCCCTCCTCCGGGCATGTGGGCAGAGTAGTGGCCCTGAGTCCTGTAATCAAGCCCCCTCTGGGAAGCAGCATCAGGAACAGCATTCATAGGCCACGGGACATTGGACGCATTCGGCGTGCCCGATGGCTAATGAGCACGACCCCCAGGGCACCCCCTTCACAATTCCTTGGGGTCACCCTCACAGTGGGGACACAGCAGCAGGAGGCAGGCCGGGCCCTGTGCCCTCTCCGGGGCCCTCTGAGAGCAGAGCTGAGGGAAACGCCTTCCTGGGAGCTGTCAGATCTAATCAGAGTGACCGGCGCGAGCAGGAGCTGCTTCTGCTCAGGACTGAGGGTGCCAGCGTGCACGGTGAAAGGGAGTTTTCCTCCATGGATGATTGCAAGAGGCGACTGGCTTCTGGAACGAGGAAGGATGTTGGCCTGGCCCTCTGGACAAACAGACAAAGGGCCCATGGCTCAAACGGGTTCGTTGTGCATGACAGCGGCGTTTGTCCAACTGCTGCTCTTTGATGGTCGCCTCTAATTGCAGTAATCAGAGAAGTCATCAAGCAAGTGGGGTCGGCAAACTCGTCATCTGAAGTGGACATCGTTGTTGTTTGCTGGCGAGAGTGGTTCGGACTCACGGCGACCTGCTGGACAGCAGACAGGAACGTGGGCCCGGCTCATGGCTGGTGGTGTGTTTGGGTCCCGAAGCTGCACCGACTCCCCACTCAGGGACATCCCCGTTATCCGACCATTTGCATTTATCACAACAGGAGGATCTCTACTGTCTGGTGGCCTCATGGGAAGCATGTGGGGCTGCTCACTACCAGATCCGCCGTTGGAAACCACCCGCCGTTCCTCGGGACCAGGACGAGGCCTTCTGCTGTGGCCGTCTCAGGGTTAAACTCACAGGCACGGTTTTGGCCTGTCCGGTGGACTCGATGGCAGGGAGCTTGGTTTGGGGTTTTCATCTGACTTTTCTGTGCATTAGCTACAAGCGGCAAGAATAACCTGGCTC